TGGACTCAATTTGCACTATTTCTGGAAGTCTGCAACCCCCCTAAGTCCAAAAGCACACTGTGGAAATAGTCCAGTTTGAGACAGAGCTCTCTGACAGAGAAGGCTAAATGGCTAACAAAACTACAGTTCCAAGATTTCCCTAGCATTGAGTCAGGGCAGTTAAAGCAATCTCAGACTGGATTATTTCTGTAGTGTATTTTGGACCATACTGAGCTAAAGAAGTTGTAGCATAAGCTTTTGTAGACTTGGTCTACTGCATCTGGCATCCTCAGATGCATCCAGCAGTACTTGGTTATTAGAATATGATGCGGAAATATAGAGAAGATTTGGAGAAGATCTGTCCTGTTCCACAGCTTAAAGAGAGTCAGCTAGACTGTGAGACTGATGCTTCAAGGCTTAACACCAGTGAGAATTTATAACTGAAAAGGGTTCTGAGATCATCACACTTTATTAATTGAATAAATAAATAAAAATAAAATCTCAATTATACTGAAAGCTTGTAGTGTGCATGTAATTTAAAATTTGAGAGGGAGAAGGTTGAATTCTACTTAATGTGACTCCAGAGAAGGAAATTCTGTCACTGTGAGATGACACAAGCCACAGCCCTCTTTCAAATAACTCATTCCCCATGATCTATTTTTTGCACAAGATGGAAATAATGATGCCGCCCCTTTTCTATATTCAGCAGTTCTGCTCTCATGCAGGAAATCAATAATGACAAGGTTGAAACAGAATGCAAAACAGGTATGGCAAAACATCAAGATCCTGCACCTTCAGAGTTAATGGGAGTTTAATCTTTGACACCAAACACAGCAGAATTTGCCACTTGATAATATATGCGGTGCCACTGTCAAAATACTCAATTAAGATGCAGAGTTAAAACATAACTTAAAAAAAACTGAAATGCAGAAAAGTAAAGTTGAGTAATTCTCAGGCTTGGTAGCCAAAATGCTAGCTTGAATGCTGAACCAAAGCATGTGAACCTAAAATAAATCAACACTTCTATAGTGAGGTTCAATCACTAACCATTAATAGGATATGATGTTTAACATCCACAAGCTATTAAGCAATACAGTGACAACTGATGCTTCCCATGTCAGTGGGGTGCAGAATCCACCCCACGTTTTAGTCCAAACCTTAGGGCCTTTGCAGACTGCCAGAAATAGTGCAAATTGAGTCCACTTTAAGGGTTAGGGTTAGAGTTAGGGTTAGGGAATCATGGGAACTGTATTTTATTGTGGTACCAGAGCTCTCTCACAGAGAAGGCTCAATGTCTCAGAAAAAAACACAACAATTCCCATGATTCCCTAGCACTAACTAGCAATTTGGCTAGCTCCTTCAGATTAAAAACTGGAGTGGATTTACTGGTATGGAAACCACCAGTCTGTAAAACACCTACCATTTACCAGTGCATTTACTGGGAGATTTGGCTCAAGTGGTAGAGCACCTATTTGTATGTAGAAATTTCTAGATCATGCCCGCACGGATGGGAAAGGTTTCAGTCAAAAACCCCACAAAGGTATTGTAGTTAAATGGAGATATTGCTGTGTAGATATCATCAAACCAGACTATAGACTAGGGGGTGTAGAACACAACTAGTGACACTATCAGAGGGGATGACACTGAAATTACTGTCTATAAAATTTTTGTGCAAAGTTTCTGCAGAAATTTTGTTATTTTTTAAAATAAAAAATATCCCTGTAGTTGGTTATAAGCACAAAAATGTTTTTCATAAACCCAGCTTGCACGATATCACTATACTTACAAGGCTAAAACTTTATGCTAATTTACTTTCTGAACGTTCTAATATGCATGTGCTCCACTCAGAGTTGTTATTATTACCCAATTGTATGCAGCATATTGTTTTAGTTGCTGCTGGAATTTTTATAGTCACTGATTTAGTCAAATTATTAAGGATTCTGTATGGTCTGGTACAAGAGGAGGTCCATGGGGGAGTGATACCATGAGTTACTGCACTGGTGACACCAGCGTTAGTGATGCCACCACTATAGACTTAAAAGCTTTCTGTGTTTCTACTGTATCCACAGGACCTACAATAGCATAGCAAAATGAAACTTAGAAGTTGTTAAATCACCCAAAATCCTAATAACTTCAGCTTTACCAGAAGTAGATGTCTGATGTGCTAATGAGAAGCACCCTTGAAAGTTAACAATATTCTTTCTTTACCTGATTCCTTAATTGGAGCCTAGTTTGGAGCTTAAATAAAATGCGAACAAAAGGACTGTTTTGTACACATTTATTTTCCTACAATCAAGAAAAAATGTTGTAAGTTATGATTACAGAAAAAAGAAATCCTCTTTTAAACCAAAACTTGATTGGGAAAATGGATAGTAAGTAGGAAATTGGTGCATCCAATCACCCCAGCCTGTCTGGATAGTCAGCTTCTGATATGAAATGTATTGCTTTACAATCACCTGTGAGATAAGAATGGGTAATAGTGAATTGCTCAGACAGAAGGTGGATTTGGTGCATGAGCTGATGTGCTTGTCTCCACATTTTTAATGCCTTCTTAACGTGCACATTTGGAAACAAATAAATTTTGACAAAAGCATTATTAAATCCCAGTACTCCATCCCCCAAACGAATCTGTATAACAGGATTTGAAATTACAGAGCTTTAACTTCCATTAGGAGGAGATCAGTTGTTGTTGTTGCTGCTGCTGCAGTTGTTGTGTACCTTCAAGTCATTTCTGATTTATGACAACTCTAAGGACGTTATCACACGGGGAGTCGTGGGGAGAAAGTAGAAATAAACCGGACGAGTGGAAGACTTTAATTTATGGGATTTGTCCCGTTCCGCCTCATCTGATAATTAAATTCGAATTTAAAAGGGGGTTAATTCGAACGAAAACCTGATCTTTCCATTTTCAGGAAATTATTTCCACTTTCTCCCCGCGACTCCCCATGTGATAACGTCCTAAGGTGACCATATCATGGGGTTTTCTTGGAAAGCTTTTCCGAGGGGTTTTGTCATTGCCATCCTCTGAGGCTGTGAGTGTGTGACTTGCCCAATGTCACCCACTGAGTTTACATGACCAAGCCAAGATTCAAATGCTGGCCTCCAGAGTCCTAGTCCAACACTCAAACCATTATAGATGTGTGATATTAGGGGAAATGATAGTGCCATTATACTAGCCATTATAATGCATTACAGATAGGCCAGTAAGACAGGAATGAGGAAGGTGGGGCCCCAGGACCATTTCTGAAAGCACCAGAACAGCTCAGCACTGTCAGAAAAAACTCAACTCCTTTTTACATCATTATTTGAAAAAGGCATTTCCTGGAATAAAATGGCTGTGGGTGGGATAGTGAAAATGTGGCAAAACTGCCCCTTTTAGCAAAAGAAAGTTCCCAAGAAGGTTTTAAAAAATTCAAGGCTATGTGACAGTAGTCACAGATGTAAGGGCTTTACATCACAAAGATAAGTGAAGATCCTGAAAGAGGGCTGCATACCATCAAGGGTAAGGAAGTGGGCAGGACTAAAGGCTGTAGTGGCTGTGCCAGAGCCGACCATGGGTGCACCCACACTTCTCTCCCTTTTTGCAACCCCTTCTCCTTTCTATTTTCTTGTTGACAGTCCCTCCACCCTCATGATCATCTTATCCAGTGGGCTGCTAGGAGAAGGATAAATCACTTTTGCTTTTGCCAGAGGTCTGAAACTGATTAGTTGCAGAAGGTTTCTGAAATTAGTCTCAGGGCTGCATGAAATTAGGCCAATGCAGCATAAAGGCTATCTAGGAAAGTAGGGAGGTGGAACAATAACATTTCTTCAGTATGCCTAAAGAAAATACTATTATTTTTTAAAAGATAATAACAGAATCCCCCTGATTTTATATGATGAA